GAACTCTCTTGTGATCAGATTATCCAGTTCCTTCGAGTTGGATGCATGCGCGAACGTGAGGCCCGCGAGACTGGTGTCTGCCACCTCGGGCATAGTCGTTGAGACACCATTGACGGAGTTTGGAGCATTGCCGGTCTGTGTCTGACGAATTATAAAGGTGAAGTTGAAGATCAGCTCCTCGTCGTTCGACAGGCGTAGCATGAACGTCGGGATCGGAGCGGAGGAGGGTGTGTCGGGGTCCTGTTTTGAGAGGTCTGTTAGCCAGACGACCCGATGCATCTAGGCTATTGGGCACTCGCGTACCTGAATATATTCGATGGGAGTATCGTCGCCGGCATCGCGCTTGGCTATGAACCTCGCCGCAGGGAACGCGTTGGGGGATAGGGTCAAAAGACGACGTCGTGGGTTGCTTATCGTGACCGATGCGATCGAGACTATCGAAATTCCATCAGTAAATCGACAAGAGTTTCAGCGATATTTTAACGTACAGCGATTCTGATCCTTGAAAAACAAGTTCCCCGCATCGTCCAGGCGGCTGGCAACATTCCCCATGATGGCGGCAAAGGGATCAGGTCACGGCGCGAGAAAGGGACCGAAGCAGCGGGACCAATTGGCCATCGACGGTCTGCGAACCTGCAGTCGGATGGCCTTTGTATTGAAGCTTGCAAAGGAACCGAATAATCATTCAGTGAAGGTTGTCTAAGGGATGAGAGAGAGAGAGCTCAAAGGTCTGAAGGAGGGGGGCGAAAGTGATCGGATAAATGCGCAGGCAACCACCCCCATAATAGTGTCATTTAGTTTAAAGCTTCTTTTTTATTTTAATTTCTTCTATATTTGTATTTATATTTAGATGTGTAGATGTATATATGTATATAAATTAATTATCTTCGAATTTGGGCTTGTCTCAAGGGTAATATCTAAGGACAACATCGACGATATGTATGAACATAGCCTCACTTCTGACTCAAAATGCTATAAATACATCAAAACGTACCTGTTCAATATCAAATTTGTATTAATAGACTGTACAAAACAGCGAAAACAGCCTGGTATCAAAAATTATTCGTGAACATCGTGAGACTCGGTTCCCAAACCAGCGCGTGGTCCCCGAAACTTGAGAACGGAGAAAGAATTGTCAAGTCACGGGTCGACTTGTCCCATGACTGGGTTCAGTGGTGACTGCACCGGCCGAAACGGGACGCTCACGGCTAGGGAAGTACCGATGCTTGTGCTTGTGGCCATCGGGCTTATCATCCGCTTCTACCCACCCCATTACTTGTCCTCGTAAATCGCGCATCTCGTGGACTCGTCGAGAAAGATCTCCTCGTTGCTTGGGTTCGCAACTGCGCTCATTCAGCTCATCCTCGTCCGAGCTAGAGATTGACAGTGAGGACGCGCTGCTTTGCTGTAGGAAGGTAATGACATTGCCTGCGTTCTTCTTGAATTCGCGCTGCTCGTCCTTCAGATTTCCCATTCGTTCCGCATCGGCCTGGCAGTCCAGAGTGGTGATATGAAGACCGGGGAAGTTGGAGGACATGAATTCCTGCAGGAGTGGTAGCTTCTCCGCGTTGGGCCGGTAGGTTCCACTGTCGTTATCAATGAAGAGTTCGTAGTCCACTGGGTTGGTCGAGATAGGGATCCCTTCTTCGGTTTGGTCCAGGTGATCGCCCTCATTGTGGTCCTCATCTTCCTCCACGGGAAATTCGTCTGTAGGCACCGTGTTCGAGACCGCATTCTCTGTGCGCTCCGCACACCCTTCTGGGGAGTTACGGTGATTGCGATGCTTCCGCCGCCGAAGGAAGAATTCACCTGAGTACGCAATGTAGATAGACACATCACTGTGCATGGTGTGCTTGCTCAACATATCGATGCCAAATTCTTTGCCAGTCTCAGTGAATCGGAATTGTCCGTCCAACGTGAGCACGTAGGTGAAGATCCGTCCACCCTGGCCATAGTGCGCAAACTCCAAGAACTTCTGGGCAAGTTCACGGCAAGGCGTCTGGAAGGACCCATGCAAAGTAGTGCGATCGAAATTGTAGATGCGCTGGTGTTGGTGGTGGAGCGCTTTATGTAGGATACGCCCCCGTAGACTCTGTGCCTGGAACATTCCCGCTACGAATGGTTTGAACTCTACATAGCGATGGTATAGCTCTGCAGGAATGGGGCCCGTGAGTTGCATCTGAATAGCCTGGAAACTATTTGGGGTCAGTATATAAATAGCCCAGGGGGAACGGGAAGGAGGACACACTTGTAACGGCTAATGGACTTGCCACTGCCATCTTTGCTTTGAACCTGGTCCTTGATGCCAGCCAGCAGACCGATCAGAGGAGAAAAATGCTTAAACCAATGGTTGGGACCAATGGTGTACATCTGACCCCCCTCCGTGCCAGGAGTCTTGCCGAGGCATTCGATACTGACTACCAACCAAGACTCCTTGCGGTGACCAGTCGCAAATGCAGAGACATTAGTAAAGACATAGACGCGCTTGCTCCCAAAGCGCTTTTTAACCTTGAAGGATTTTCCCTTGAAACCTTCCCAGTCATCCGAGAGTGTAGGAACGTCGATGAAAGCGATTCCCAGCTTATCATCGTGATCCGCGGGGTCCTCGTCCATGAGATGACATTTCAACTGGAATCCCGAAGCGGGGACGTTTGCGACGATCCATTCGCATTCCCACCTGGGGTTCATGTCCTTACGTACGGTCGGGGTGCGGAAGCGCAATTCGGGGTCTTGTTTGTGGCGCGTCGGTAGGTCGACTATCATATGCGCGGAGACAAAGGGATCGGAGGAGAAACTGCCAAAGTCCGCGACAGGCAGGTCCTCTGCGCGATGGAAAGTAATCTTGAGGGTGTAACCTGGTGGGGCATGGGGAATGGGAGTAGCATCGAAGCCTCCGGCAGGCTTTGACTGTCCATTCATAGTGACCCGGCGATGTATCTTGTCAGCCTTCTCCACGAATTTGGGGCCATATTTGTCGATGGCATGGACAGGCAATGACCGGGGCTGGGAGTCGTCCATGGCCAACGTAGGGAAACGAGTCTCCCGAGATCAATATAAGTAAAACTAAGTAAGAATAGCCATATTGAAGAGAAAAAGTAGAGATACCTGGGCAAGCTTTTCAGCCTTACAAATGAAGAACCATAAGACATACCCTAAGAAGGAAAGGTGGGCGCAGGCAACAGGATATCGCCAAGACTTGCCTAGAGAGGAACCATGACCTCATTGGACTCCATCTGTCTTTTTTCAGGGGGTTCTATGTTGTAACTATATATTTTATATTTATTTGGATTTATTACTTCTTAATGTAGTTAGATTTTCATTCATTTCCACCTAGTAACTTTGAATTAAAGGCAAAAAATGCCCAAAAGAAGCAAAACACAGCGAAAAAGTACATAGCAAACATAGAGAAAATAATGGTCATAAGGTCATAGGGATCATAGGAGGGGAAAAAGTAAAGACAACGACTTGCGTGAGGACCGACAGGTGTGGCGTATTGAAGATCATTGGTTCTTTAGGTTCCTCGGAAAAGGAACTGCATGTCTTCCGGGGTCAGTTTTTCCAATGCTGCCGCCTGATCTTTATTCAGGGTACCCCGGATGAGGTTGGCCTTTTTCTCCTGAAGCTGAATGATTCGCGATTCGACTGAGTCCTCAATACAGAGTCGAGTGACCACACAAGGCCGCTGCTGGCCGATTCGGTGACTGCGGTCGGCACTTTGCCATTCCGCGGCGGGATTCCACCATGGGTCAATGATGAAAACTCGGGATGCTTCCGTCAGGTTGAGTGCCACACCACCAGCCTTGAGAGAGACTAAGAAAACCTCCACGTTGGCCTTCGTCATGAAATATTCAATGGACTTTTGCCGCTGTGCTGGGGTCATCGATCCATCCAACATAACGGTATTGAACCCAGCATGGCGTAGCCGCCACTCGACCAGTTGTAGCATGGAAGTGAACTGGGAGAAGATGATGGATTTAGGGGTATGGCTTTTGCTTCGCTCCTTGAAGAGTTCGTAGAGGAGCATCTCGATTTTCGTGGACGAGGTCCAACTCTCCATGGAGATGCGGTTGATTATGGAATTTTTCTTAACAGACTCTTCGTATTCTGCAAGAGTGGGTTGTTCCAAATCAATGGAAAGAGCGATATGGCACCGTGGGCAGTCAACATGCTTACTATCGTCCTGGAAAGACTGAATATAGTCCTTGGCGCATTGACGACAGAATTCATGACGGCACTGAGACCGAATGGCATCTTCTGCGGGCTCATCACAGACGCAACACACAGCAACGTTAAACCCTGCTTGCGCTTTTTTCTTCAAAATGAGATCGGGATGGTTTGCAACTTGGCGCATCTGCATAATCAATCCGAAGATGTTGGCATAGTTGTTCAACATGACACCCTCGCTGACATAGGTATCGAATTTTCTTGTCGAGTTGGTCATGATGCTGCGTGAGAAATCTTGCTCGATCTCGCCGAAAAATTCATTGTGCAACGTGATACGTTTAGCTGGGAGCTCCATCGACTTTGTATGCTGTTGCTTCATCCGGCGGAGCATGATATGATCGGTTATAAGACGGAGCTTGTCGAGACCGTCTTTGCGTTGTTTTTGAGTTTTCCCCTCGATGATTGGGTTAAGAATCTCCTTGTTGAAGATGGATATGTGCATAAACCCAGTGTGGGAGCACTCAGTGCAACGTCCCTCTTTAGTCGAGGTCCACTGGAGTTGTTCGCAATCGCACTGCTTACAAAAGTAGCATGCGAATGGCTTGACTTGTAGAAAGCGTAGAAGGGAGAAGAACTCTCCGATCCGGTTCTGTACGGGTGTCCCCGACAGGCACCACTTGTAATTAGCCTCCAAGGCAAAACATGCCCTGGCAACACCCGTTGTACGCGATTTGATACTATGCGCCTCGTCAAGAATGAGGCGGTGATAGTGGACTGCGTGGATGACACTGTCTGCTTTGACCATCGTTGCCCCGCGAGAGAAGCCCTTCTCCTGCTTACGGTAAATGGATTCGAGACTTGCATAGGAAATCATGATAACATCGTATTTGCGAATTTCAGCCGGTGTCAACTTTTTGACTTTCGCGTCGGAATTGTGATAGACCAAGACTTTCAGCTTGCCATCTGTGTATTCCTTGATCTCGGATACCCACTGCATCAAAGCGACCGGTGGCACGAGGACGAGAGTCGGGTCGGGCTGGGGGAAATCGGACATGATGAGTGAGACTGCTTGGATAGTCTTTCCCATGCCCATCTCATCGCCCAGCAAACCACCCTTGTATTGAGTCTTTTCCTGAGCTATCATCCAGTTCAAGCCCTCCAGTTGGAATGGCTTGAGTTTGCGAGTTATGGATACAGGCTGCTTGGCTTCCTTTGGCTGGATAATCGGCTGCGCTTTGAGCACATCCCACATTGTACCAATTGTCGGGTGTTTATTCACAAGGTTCTTTCGGTCTCTTTCTGCCTAGGTGATGGTCAGTCATGTAAAGACATATGGGGAAGAACCCGACTCACACGGCGAGCTTTCCGATGCTCTTCCCAGGTTGGGGGCAGATCTGCTTCAGAGCCGTGAATATCGTCATTGAGGCCTTCTGCAAGAGGACTGAGAGATCTGCCTTCTAGTGGATCCTCCGAGGTATCCGAATGAAGGAACTCTGGTGGCTCAGGGCTCAACGGAGAGGAATCTGGGTCTGAGGCGTATTCCAAGTGTTCATCAATGGATTTGTCCACGAGCAAACATTGTTCTGTTGTCGGGCGTGGGTACTCGTATTCATCCATTTGAAGGGCATGGGCCAGAGCGCTGTCAGAAGCCTCAAGATCGGTTTGGACGGACAGAGCACCCGTAGGCCGTTTTGCCATCCTTTTTTTGTAGGCACGGGCTAGTGGAGCATCATCATCATCATCATCATCATCATCATCATCATCATCATCATCATCATCCTTAGCCAAAACAGCCGCGGATCGTTTTCTTCCTCTTTGATGAGATCCTAAAGATAGTGCGCTCGATTGCAGTTTCTTTACCCGATCAGCGGCATTGATACGCGCCGAAGTCTTGGTCGCAAGCTTGGTGTCGGGTTCAGTAACTGCAGCGCCGACGCTAGTAGCTGGGGTACTGTAGCCTGTTGACCTTCCAAGCGAACTCCGAGAATTGGAGTCACTGGGATATTCATTTTTCGCTGGCACGACCACTGCAATCCCGCCGGAAGCAGAATTGTCTGGTGCCACCGAGTCCGATAGACCTACATAGTCGTCCTCATCTGCCTCGGAATCCTGGATGACGCGAGTGCGAGATCGAGAAAGGGATGACCCACTGGCTCGCAGACGTCCCGATCGACTTGATCGACGGAGGGGGGAAGAATTCCTCAATGACGTCTCGCTGAATTGTGAATCGTCATCTGAATCAGGGATTGTGCTTCTGGGTCTCAGATTATGCCTCATATTGAAACCGAGCGGATGTAGAGAGGATGGAATGTCAGGGTTGACTCGGCGGGTGTCTTAGGCTATAAAGATGGATTTTATTAGCCAGGTTCGAAAGATATATAGGGAAGTGACATTGGGGGATGTACCTAGAAAAGCGCGACTTCACTTGTTTGTGTTATGAACATGCGGCTAGTTGCTAGAAGACAGGAGATAGATGAAAGATTGGATGAGACGAGAAAGTAGAGAAAATAAACCAGGCTATAAGGAACCAAATGAGGCTAAGAGGAGATGAGAGGAGAGGAGAGAGATGAGATGAGGATGAAGTCGGAGGCAGCAGGTGCCTGAACCAGAAATTTTCCTCGGAATCTCCCGATTTCCCTTCCCAATTTCTCTTATTATTTTCTTCTTTCTTGGCGAATCTTCATCTTCATCGATATCGTCAAGCTTCAAAGGTCTCTTCATCTCTCTGCTGAGTATTCCCCCTATCCCCCCTATCCTCCATATCCCCCGTGTCTTATCTCAGATAAGACCGCGTTAAGTGAAACGCGAAATTGCCACGGGTCCAGTGACTCGGGCCCAGACCAACTTTGAGCCTCAACTTTACAATTCTCCAAATATGTAAGTAGTCCGATCCTATATGATATTATATTCAAACTGACAGGTCTAAAAGGAGCGGAAGGAGACAGGCAAGGCAACCAAGACAGTCAACTCGACCTCAGGGCATTCGGGGCCCGTATGTTTTGCTTCCCTTCGCCTTATCACCCAGAGACTAATTGCAACTCTAGACGCTCTGCCTTGACCGACTATCTTGCTGTATGTTGATATTTCTCTACATAGTGTGGCTTGGCTGACTAGTCTTAGTCAAATAATATCTCAGCCCAGCAAATCCGCGATGATTGGGACCGCCGGCAAGCTGAGACACAGCGCCAGCCTGACCAAGCTGAACAAGAATCATCCAACGCAGCTGAAGAATCTAGGTCTCCATCGGGTTTGGAGTCACCAGAGGACCCGGTCAAAAAGCGCAAGCGCCGGCGAGCCATTGCAAAGATAAAAAATAGTAAGGAGATTGCCAGACGCAGGGCTCGCGTTAGTGGCGATTACGATGATGAGGATGACGACGACCTTGCGCTACAGATCCACGAAGAAAAGAACCGACCGAAACCGGGTCAGCTGGCGAACTGTGAGATCTGCGACAAGCGTTTCACAGTGACTCCCTACAACAAGGCCGGTCCAAATGGAGGCTTGCTTTGCGTCGATTGCTCTAAGAAGCAAAAGGCCGATGAGAAGAAGCCCCCAGCCAAGAAGCGTGCCCCTGGGATTGGACGCCGTCAGAATCAAGCTAATCTACTCGATGGGTTGACTCCTCATGGCACTCAGAGCCTGCTGGAAACCTGCATCAAGGTAAGTCCCTAATATTAACCTCCAGGGCATTGACCAAGGAGTGCTAATCATTTTCTAGAAAGTGGCAGATTATATTCATGATATTGAGGACTTCGGTGATTTGCCTCCGTCGTTACTGTTACGTCTCGGCCAGATCTTGTCCAGAAGGCGGGCCGTGACCTCACGGACTTTGGATCTGTTCTTACGACCTCAATATACATCCATCGACCTGTTCGATTGTGCTAGTAAGTCAGATTTATTTCCTTTCTTTGAAAGAAAGTCTAACCAAGTGGCTAGAACTCGGCACGGATGATTACCACAAGATCCTGGCTTCTATGCCTCGTCTAACAAGGGTTAACCTTCGGTTTACCACTCCAATGAAAGACCCGGTTTTCCACTATATGATGGAGCGTGACATGGAGATCAAAGATCTTCATCTGGATGGGCCAAACCTCGTGACCGATGCCTGTTGGCGCCAACTTTTCATGAAACTTGGTCATCGTTTCCTGAGCGTCAAACTGTGGAACCTGGATTCTGCCTTTGATAACGAAACCGCTCGAGTGATGTGCCTTCATTGCCCCGATCTTCAGCGACTGAAACTGAAGTTTTTACACAAACTCGACAATGACATGCTTGAGGGAATTTCGACGTTCAAGTCCCTTCAGCATTTGTCACTGCGATTTCTGGACGAGACCGAGATTAAGACCGAGCCTCTGCTTAAGATCATCAGTAGCATCGGGCCCCATCTGGAAACCCTCTCTCTCGAGGAATTTGACCTTGCCGATGATCGACTCCTACAGCATATCCATGAACATTGCCGTCGTCTGGCCAAGCTTCGTCTTACCCTCAACTCGACCTTCACCGATAAAGGTTTAGCTGCGCTCTTCACAGGCTGGTCTAATCCCGCCCTTACCTATGTGGACTTGAACTCCCTTCGAGACGTGGACATGACGAATCCCGCCGGTCCCGAGGAGCCTATTGGGCTTGCATCCGACGGCTTCATTGCGCTTATGGAACATTCAGGCTCGAAGATCCAACACTTGAACATCGCATCGTGCCGTCACATTTCATACAAAGCGTTCGAACAGGTTTTCGAAGAAGGCAAAATGTATCCCAAACTCAAATATCTTGATTTTTCCTTTAGCACCGTCGTGGACGACTACCTTGCGCAGTGCATCTTCCGGTGCTGTCCGGCCCTACGGAGACTGGTTGTCTTTGCTTGCTTCAAGATTCGCGACGTCCACATCCCCAGGGGACTTGCTCTGGTCGGTACCGTGGGAGCGACTATCAAAGTCGACGGAATCACCCAGACCGAGACAATTTGAGTGGCGCTACAGTGGATCCACAGAACAACTTTTCTTTCATGTAGTTTAGCGATATTGCGATCTGAGCATACGTGTGTATCTAACTTTTATAAAAAGAAAAAGAAAAGAAAGGAGGTATACCTGGTTTCGTCTACATCGGCCTCTTTCCTTGACGATGTAGGACTTGAATAACCTGATCAATTTAGCGCAGGATAATACTAGGGACGTCAAACTTAAGGTAGCACTGCAATAGCTTTGTAGATGTCTCCTTTCTCGATGTTGTAGCCAGAAGGCGAATACACGCGCCGAAAAGCAAAGTTTCCACAAAACGGCTTTTCCATGTATAATATGTGTGATATGTGATATACCATTTGCCCAGAACTCGCCGAATCATTTATATAAAGGACTTCATTCGTTAAATATCATGTATATTTACGCCAAACACCATAATATATGTAACCTTAACCCAGATAACTCAAGGAAATGCAACCCAATTAACAAAATCCATCATATCTATCCCATTCGCTTGCCAATCTCACTCTGCCAGTTCCGAGTCCTCTCAAATCCGTTAGAGGCAGTCTGGTAGTCGAGCATCGCTTGGTAAACTTCCTCCTGAGTGTTCAGCACAAAGGGCCCATACTGAACAACCTTCTGGTCCAGCGGCTGGCCAGCCACAAGGAAGATGCGGGAATCCTTGTCAGCATTATTCGGGACGGAGAGCTCAACAAAGTCACCCGTCTGTTCGAATTGGACGTTTGTGAATTCCTTCACAATGCGAGTTGAATCATTCGAGCCAAAGACAGTCTCACCAGCCAAAGTGTAAGCAAATGAGTTCCATCCCTGTGGCAGGGGCTGTGAGATACGACCACCAGGCTTGATCGTGATATCCAAGATCCAGACCGGGGTGTAGGCCAAGTCGCGAACGGAATCGACACCGTGCGACTGGCCCGAGATGACCTTAATCTCGACGCGGCCCTCATCGACCGTGGCAATGGGAATCTCCTCAGCGCGCAGATCACGGTAACGAGGCTCACAGAATTTCAGCTTCTGGGGCAGATCGACCCACAACTGCATACCGACGTTGGGGCTACCGTCCGCGTTCTCGTGGGGCATTTCAGCGTGCATAATGCCGCGGCCTGCAGTCATGAATTGCAGATCGCCGGGGCCGATGGTGCCCTTGTTACCGGCGAAGTCTTCGTGGTCAATCCCGCCGGACAACAAATAGGTGATGGTCTCCTGACCGCGGTGGGGGTGGTCCGGGAAGCCGGCACCCTTGCCGACGGTGAAGTGGTCGAGCATAAGGAAGGGACTGAAGTTGCGGAGCTTGGCGGTTCCAATGGAGCGGCGCACACGGGCACCTGCGCCTTCTGCTTGCTCAATGGCAAGGAATGCCTGTCGGATTGCGCGAGGAACGGACATATCTGTGATGGGGAAGACTATGGGAGTTGGGGTTTCCAAATTGAGGTGGTGGTTTGTCTGATTCACAATGCTTTCTGTCTGAAGGTACTGTGACAGACTAGGAGCTTTTCGCTGGATGAATGTCAGGATAGAGTCTTCCAGAGAGTCTTTGATAGAAGGGTTATAGGCCAGGAAGATTGCTGTGATGCAAATTAAAAGTGGCAGAAGTAATTTCATGGGTGGGATGATGGCTATTTATATGCGAAGGGAGAGATTGAAAAGAATAGAATGTTCTGTTTGGAAAAGAAATGTCAGCGTTAGTCAATCTCTCATAAATACTCTTTGTACGGAGTAGTATCCTGGGCATTTCAACCTTGGAATGCTTTGCAAGACATCAGTCAGCCTCAGTCTGGCCAATGAACTGGCTCTGCTTTATTACCAACATCCCCGTCAGCAGCCACTAATCAAGAGCTAACTATATATAGTTAGCGTTGGTACCTGATAAATGAGGTACTAGTGCTGAGTTAAGCATTTTCAAATCAGGTGACCTGGAGATTGGGGATACATAAGCAATAAGTAATTCTGTAGGTATAACTAAGTAGTTAGTTATGTTGTACGCGTGTTATATGATTGAATACAATGTGACTCTAGATATTACCTTGTATTCATATCAAAAATAACCATTTCCTTGTATCTGCTTCCAAGTGTTTCCTCGGGATATCGGAAACAGTACAACATAGATTAGGCCTTATCAGATAAGGCCACGGAGCAGCTGCCCTGGGCCGCTCTTCACTGGCGACCCTGACATGCGAGGACTACCTACTGTAGGCATTCGACTTATTACGGCCTTGGGAAACTGGTCGCTTCTGTCTTTATATACATACACTGATACCCATATGCGATTTGCATGACGAACCCTTACCATTGCCGAATTGA